CCAGCCTTTGCGAGAAGATGAACATTCATTTCACCTACCTTGGAACGGGTTGCCTGTTTAAGTACGATGCCGAACATCCAGTAGATGGACCAGGGTATAAGGTATAGTTTATCGCGTTTAGAAAAGCTCTCAGATCGTGAATTAGAGGGGAACTATGATTCATTCCATTACCAATTTGACTTAATAACTGTTACCACTCATTTGCCTGCAGACAATTGCCTTTTTAACGCATGGTTGATGGGTAATTAACAGCACAATTACCTCTATAGAAAAGAAAGTAACAGTTGAACCAATTTTTCTTACTTTCATGCTAGAAACTTCGATACTTGCAAACTTAACTGGAATACCGCCTTGATTATCGAAATGGTACCTATGATCTGTAAAAAAAACCCACAAAAACACTTACGGGTTCAAAAAATCAACTATATCCGAAACTTTGAAAGAATTTGTTGACTAGTTTAACATATTATTATAGGATATGTGAAGTCCTCTAGTTTCTAAAACTTATACTTTGATTAAAAGTGCTCCAATTTCAAAATAAAGTAGAAGCAACGAGTTTTAGGAAGATGATGTCGGCAATTACGATGGTACCTCTTATTCAGCAGTAAAAAGCTTCACTGATCGTCTCCTAAGACAATTCGATAACACCCTTCAATGCAGAATTCGCCTACCAGTCAACTATGAAGCCGATAGTCGAAATCTCGTTGCAAAAGTAACTTGGTAATTCTGTTAGACAGCAAGCCACGAGAAAAAAATCGTATTTTTAGCTGATGACGTTCAAGAAAGTGCTCGACATTCCAAACTCAATTACAGTACTACCCGATTGTTTACCTATTTTGTTAGACATGGCACTTAAAAGGTAGGGAAATTTGATTTATACCATAAGTATTTTTGCAAGGCTTAGAATATGCCTCCACATCCGTAAAAGAGCAGGAAATGTAAGCATAACATAAGATTACCTACATAAATATAAATTTTGCATTTTCTAGACTTACTATTTGTTGTGCAATTACACTACATGCACGTAAAATCTAAATTGACCACTCACATGTCTTTTACCCTATCTTCCTTCTTCTCACAAAAGTTCGTAAAA